AACTTTCCTCTAGTTCTTTTAATGCTTCCTCCCCCAGCTCCCACTATCATGATCCCAATTCTACCTTATAAACCCAGCTAGACCAGAGCACGTACACTGGTACAGATAGGAAGTGGAAACAAGGGAATTCAGGACAGATGAACCCCTGTGGACCAGTGGTGAGAGTGGCAGTACTGGGAAGGTGGGGTAGAAAGCGGGGACTGATCACGAGGATCTACATATAACCTCCTCCCTGGGGGACGGACGGACAACAGAAAGGTGGGTGAAGGGAGATAACGGACAGTGTAAGACATGACAAAATAATAATAATTTATAAATTATCAAGGATTTGTTAGGGAGGGGAAAAGTGAGGAGCTGATATCAAGGGCTCAAGTAGAAAGAAAATATTTTGAGAATGATGATGGCAACAAATGTACAAATGTGTTTGACACAATGGATGTATGTATGGATTGTGATGAGTTTTATAAGCCCCCAATAAAATGATTTAAAAAAAAAGACTTAACAATAAAAAAAAATTAGGTGCCTCTGCTGATATTTGGGTCGGCTTATACTCGAGTATATATGGTATGTTAAAGGACCAACAAATTTAGCAAATGTGCTGTCTGTTGCCCTATCATTAATATTTCATATTACATAACACCAAGATTTAGCTTATTCTTAGCTTTCTTCCTCTTGATCTACTTATTTCTGCATTTCATTTTGTTTTCCTGTAAATGTTTTTAGTATTTATTAAAGATATGTTTGTGTGTGTTCACACAATATAAGACAGCATTGTAAAACTGACTGGGGTCGACTAGTTGAACACAGTTGGACTGGAACTACTCTGAGACTTTGTTAGTGCCGTCATCTTTTTCTTTGTGGTTTGAAATAATTCATCACTACAACTTATTAAACAACTCAACTTTCAGAAAATATGATAATGGCACATGGAATTTCATAATACAACATTGCTTATTATCTTAGTTCAAAAGAACTTAGATCCTTGGTTTTATGGCTAGGAATTTAATATAAATAGTGCTATTTAAATTATGTTTATAATTTAACATCTTTAAAATATGTATCATACTTAATGTTATTGTGATAAAATTAATATTCATATTTAAAATTTTTAATTTGTAACAAGGAAATACTTTTAGATGCAGCTGTCTTTGAAACATGTTATGTATCCTGAAAGTTAGTGAGTCTATATTTAAATTGCCTTAAATGTATATAATTTTCCTCTAGGAATGAGGAAATTTATACTATTTATAATACCCCAGAAATAGATGTGCCTTTTTTCTCACATTCTTTATTTCTATGTTTATTTATTTCTTTGTTTCCGTGTTTCTTCTTCTTTGTCATCTTCCAACCCTTTCCTGCTGATGGTTTTTTGTTTTTATTTGTGTGTATCTATTCTTGACCACAATATATGTTCTAGAAGAGTGAGTGCTTGAAATTACCTATTGACTCTTAATTATATAAAAACAATATATGTAATAGTTTTGTTTAAAAATCATCATTGTTCAAGGGTTTGTGAGGAAAGGAGTGTGGGGGAGGGAAGGGTAAAAAGGAGAAGCTGATACCAAGGGCTCAGATAGAAAGAAAATGCCTGGAAAAGGGTGATGGCCACAGATGTACAAATGTGCTCGACACAATGAATGTATATATGGATTGTGCTCAGTGTTGTATGAGCCCCCAATAAAATGATTTTTTAAAAATCATTGTTAACAGAACTTTAAGTATCCATAGGTATTCTAGGGGAAAATATTTGTTTGAAATTAATTTAAGTTCAATTCTTATTCTTTTTCAGTATTTCTCAAACTCTGAGGCTTACAGAAGTCAAAAATTGAGATCCAGTATTATTTTCAGTAATGTGTAAGTAGTGTGTAAGTAGTGTGTGTAGTAATGTGTGTAGTAATGTGTGAGTAGTTTTTGTTTCTTGTCTAGGTTTGTTTTGTAGTGGTTTTCTATTAAAAACTCAGAAACATTAATTTATAAACTCTTTACAAGAATTTGGAGGCATAGTTACCACATAATTATTGTGAGAAACAAATGACAAAATATTTTATTGAAAGAAAATGTCTCAAAGATATGTACTGGGTCAATATAAATCCAACACTATTTATAGGGGTAAAAGAAAAGTATTCCTATGAAATCATAGAAACCTTTATTTAAAAGAACTATCAGAGTGAGGCTGTTCCTTATCCACATGTCCTCCATCTAGATCTATCTACTTGAAGAGGCGGCATTTACATCTTTCCAATCCACGCCAGAATGGCGTTTCTGGCATTTTAGAGGGACACAAAGTGTGTTTCTTTCCAATGCTCTTTGAGTTTTAGGAATAAAAGAAAGGCTGAAGAGACAAGTTCAGGGTTGTAGAGTGGATGAGGTAAAGTTTACTAAACACATTCTCCTAGAACAGCCTTGTTATTCTCATAGAATGGGCAGATGCATTGTTGTGAGGGAAAATATTTCTTGGTAGACTTTCCTAACCTACTGTTAAATAGGATATACAAATATGATTTTTATTTTTTTATATAGATATCAAAGTTTATTAGTAGTTACTAGGGTCAGGATAGAGAAAGTGGGGGGTGGAGGGTAGGGGTGATGGAAAAACCACATGGATAATGGAATAGTGTGCTTGCAAACATTCTTATCATTGCCGTCAATAAGGCTAAAACCTGTAAATAATAAACAGGCAAAAGTTGTATGATAGATATACAAGGGGTCTTCAAAAAGTTTGTGGGAGACTTCCATTATTTTCAAGTTTAGTTGTATTCATGACTGGGGCTTTTTATTTCTTGCTGCTGATTTTTGTTTGCTGGCCTGCGCTTGCACCTGCATGACCAGGACCAGGGCCTTCCTGAAACCTGCAGGAATGAGAGGTAATTGGGAAGCTTGGCTAGGGTAGGTCTTTCTTCGTTCTCAATTTTCTCCGGGTTGTAGTCCGGCTGCTGGGTCATCTCGGGAGAGCTTGCTTTGAGCTGAAGAGGTGCAGAGTCTCAGGGAGGAGGCACCTCTGGGCGCGCTGACGACAGTGCTCAGGCTACAGGGTCTTCTCTCACAAATAAGATTTCTTTCAAAATTCTGTGATTTTGCTTCTGAAGGGTGCCAGTTGTCAAGGAGGGGGACGACAATTTAGGGGGCTTACTGTTGCTGTTGGGGAGAAACGGGAAGGAATGGACTATTGGAGAACTTCAGGTTAGTTGAAAGAAAGCTACTTGGAACATGGAAGGATGTGATATGAAGAAAAATGGCCAGAAGAGGGATAAAAATAATAGAAAGGAATGTGGAAATGTAGACATAAATGAGAAACTCCTGAAGACAAGGGTATTGTTTTTATCTCTCCTGTTGCCCACCCACTAAATATGTTTTAATTTCATGAACTATGATGGGCAGATGTTGACTAGAAAGAAATAGTATGCACAAAGTGAAAATAATGTTTTACGTACAGGAAAGATGAAAGAGTCAGGAAAAGTGGAAACGAGAATCTCTAGCTCAGTTTTGGCAATTTAAGAAAAGATGAACTAGTTTAGGTTTTTGAAATTTTTAAAACCAGAAATTTTATTCTAGATTATTTAAGTAAATTCAAGTGTTGGGGTGTTGAACTGGTTCATCAGACCATTATCAGGCCCCACCTGGGAGACCTTTGTTCCTTTTATCTTCTTAATAATAGCTGCTCATTTTGCAAAATTTTAGGGCTAGAATTTTTTTTCATATAATTAAAAAAATTTTAAATGTTTCCTTTTAACTCCACTCTTGCCTTTTCTTGTCTTTTGAGTTAACCTGGGCAGCAAATGTTTAACCCCTCTGACATAATGGAATGAGGGAAGAAATGAAAGAGACTTTGAACTGATTGGATAGAAACTGAAATGGGGAAGAAATAGAAATAAGTCTCCATTAGTTGCAAACTGGGTAGGGCCTGCTTATGCCTTCACAATGTAGTTCTCACCAGCCGTTTAGGAATCATACCCTTCTTGTTTTCTGTTCTCAAAGATAACAGATGTAAATGTTTAAAAATCATTTTATTGGGGACTCATACAACTCATCACAATCCATCCATCCATTGTATCAAGCACATTTGTACATTTGTTGCCATCATCATTCTCAAAACATTTTCTTTCTACTGGAGCCCTTGGTATCAGCTCCTCATTTTTCCCCTCCCTCCTTGCACCCCCTCCCTCATGAACCCTTGATAATTTATAAATTATTATTATTTTGTCATGTCTTACACTGTCTGATGTCTCCCTTCACCAACTTTTCAGTTGTCCGTCCCCGAGGAAGGAGGTTATATGTAGATCCTTGTGGTTCCCCCTTTCTACCCTACCCTCCCTCCATGCTCCCAGTATCACCACTCTCAGCACTGGTCTTGAGGGGTTCATCTGTCTGGATTCCCTGTGTTTCCAGTTCCTATCTGTACCAGTGTACATCCTCTGGTCTAGCTGGGTTTATAAGGTATAATTGGGATTATGATAGTAGGGGATGGGAGAGGAAGCATTAAAAGAACTAGAGGAAAGTTGTATGTTTCATCGTTGCTACACTGCGCCCTGACTGGCTCATCTCCTCTCCATGACCCTTCTTCTGTAAGGGGATGTCCAGTTGCTTACAGATGGGCTTTGGGTATCCACTTCACACTCCCCCTCATTCTCAATTATATGATATTTTGTTCTTTGATACCTGATACCTGATCCCATTGACACCTCGTGATCACACAAGCTAGTGTGCTTCTTCCTTGTGGGCTTTGTTGCTTCTCAGCTAGATGGTCGCTTGTTTATCTTCAAGCCTTTAAGACCCCAAATGCTATATCTTTTGATAGCTGAGCACCATCACCTTTCGTCACCACATTTGCTTTTTACCCACTTTGTCTTCAGTGATCATGTCGGGAAGGTGAACCTCATGGAATGCCAGTTTAAAAGAACAAAGTGTTCTTGCATTGAGGGATTACTTGAGTGGTGGCTTAATGTCCAGAAAATAGATGCAAATTTAAAGTGAAATACTACCTAAGAAGGTATCTGAAATCCAAGAAGATGCCTATAAATATTGTCTCTTATGAGGACATTATATTGTAACATAAATATTGTCTCATTATTTTTGCAATTATGAGATATTAAAATCAGAAACCAAATCTAAGATACTTTATAAAAGTCTCTTTTGAGACTTCAGCATTACATATGTGTGTGTTTCAAAAGGCACACACCTTATTTATTTGTTCATGCAACAAATCCTTTTTTTTTTTTGCATTTATTTTAACTAAGTCTAGCATGAAACACATGTTGGGAACTATGGTTTTAGATGAAACTTTTTTCCTACGCATTAGCATTTAAGTCATAACAGTACGATGTGTGTTCTCCTAGTTAAAGAACTATTTAAGCTGTCGATGCTAAGCATGTGAATTTTCCTACTAAAATGTGTGTGACTATATGGTGAACTACTCTGTTTTCCTTGGAACTTGTTGGAAACATGCACTATGTTCATAATCTCTGCCCTAGTTTATTATTTAAATTCTTCTCTTGGTGGTATCCCTTGGACCTCTCTTATGGTGGACCAGTATGGGAATGGGAGCATCTTCAGCTTGCTTTATCTGTGGAAACCTGTGTTTCCTGGGCTGAGGGTGTAACCTCTGCAGCTGCGTATGCTTCCCCAGGGTATCACTGGCTGGAGAACACTTTTAGAGTTCATTGTCAATTTGGCACTTGCAGGTGGCTTAAATTTAAACCCTAAATCTAAGTTTGAACAGTCCAGAACCCAGATTGAGGAAAACTTGCTTTTATACCTCCCTGTGGCAGTGAATGTATTTTTAAAGCTTGCTCTTTAAGTGGGGTGTAGTCCTGTAAAGTTCTTGACTTCATATGGGTGTTTCATTTCCAGTTTTCTGTCTTTCACTGTCCCAAGATATTGTCTCTTCTCCTTGTAATGCCTTTTCAAATGTAGAGCCCTGGATTACTGGGGAGATCTTCAACCCATCAGCTTCCCCATAACTGTCTGGCTTTTGGTTTCCTCATTGTTTGGGGGTCCTAAGAATTTCCTGTTTTTACAAATTAGTTCATTCATTTAAAATCATAGTTGTTATAATCTAGGCTTCCATACTGCCAGAGTAGAAATTTATGCATTGCTTTTATGATCTGAAAACTGCTAAAATGTTCCCATAGAAAAGAGGAAGCATACTTTTAAATATTAAATTAAAATGGATAGAACACGTGTTTATCAGTAGTGCTCTTTTTGTAGATTTTGCTTATTGTCACGCAAACAACTTACATTTATTTGACTTACTCTAAAATCTGCCTTTTACTTTCCTTCCAGATGCAATCTTCTGTAATGGAAGATGATCGAAGACCAGGGCCCTCGTGTTGCTGACTACTTCGTTGTAGCAGGATTGACTGATGTTTCAAAGCCTCTTGAAGAAGAAATTCATTTCAATGATGCTTGCCATAAAGTAGCTAAACCAAAAGAACCTATCACAGATGTTTCCGTTATTATTAAATCTCTTGGGGAGGAAGTGCCGTGTGATTATATGTGTATCGATGTTACTCCAACTGGATTGTCAGCTGATCTCAATAATGGCAGTCTGGTGGGGCCACAGATTTATCTTTGCTATAGAAGAGGAAGAGATAAGCCTCCACTCACAGATCTGGGGTAAGTACTTTTGAAAATGTTTTCTTACTATTGATTCAAATAATATGCCTTATAGATTTTGAAATTAACTGGTCATTCATTAGAAGTTTGACAGCTTTAGAAAAGTAGATTGGTATGCAGAATTCTACATTGTACCCCCACTGTGGCTCTTTAAGTCTGAAGTTGATAGCCATATTTACTAATGCTTGAGGAAAGATGGAATGATTTGGATGAGTTCCTGAGTTTTAACTTTTAAAATTGTATCATCTGTTTGATGTAAAAGAAGTTCGTTTGATATAAAAGAAGTTACCTAAATAATTGGTATCTATTCTAATAACTTTCAGTAATTTTAAATTGGTTTCAGACTGGTCACCATGTTGCTTCATAAAAATTTATATATTTAGGAAATGGTTCTAAAAGTAATTTAACTGTTAGATCAAGTATTCTTCAAAAGTATAGGTGATTTGTCCCAATGACCACTGACCATATTCTGAATTCTAGCTTGTGGATAAAATGAAAGAAATGTTACAGATTTGTTTGTTTGGGTGCTGAGATTTCCTAGGTTAGAGATGAAAAATTCTTGTGGCATACAAAGAATTCACTTTAGGAAAATACTTGAATTGGAATGAATAAATCAGCCCCTTTTATAGCTATTAAGGTATGTTACTCATTGCAGAAGAGATGACATCATTCTTTTTTAAAAAAAATTTCTTACTTTTATTGGGGGCTCTTACTTCTCTTATCACAATCCATACATTCATCCAGCATGTCAAGCACATTTGCACATAGGCCGCCATCATCATTTTCAAAGCATTCTCTTCCCACTTGAGCCCCTGATCTCAGCTCCCCATTTCTTCCC